CCACGTTTTTAAAGGAGTTCCTTTTAATAATAATCTTTTTCATTTGAATGAACAGATATGAAATTTAGAATGAAATTAAGACTTTGTCCTGGAAAATAATATTTTCATATAATCCCCCCATCTCATTCAATTTGCTTCAGTTCTTCAATTTCGTACAAGTTTGCAAATCCTAAAAGCGCAAAAAATTAAGAATTATTTATTAACCATTAACAATAAAACGAGAAACAAATATCAGGTTTTCCAATTGATCTGGTTTCGAAATTAACCGTTATTTCAAGCTGTATTTTCGATTATTTTCGAAATAAGGTTCTCCTTTCACGGAAATTTATATCAGCCAGAATAGTTTATTGGCATTAATCAACACTTTGTTTTACTAATACGAAATTTCTTGGTACCTTTGCTCACCTCCGAGCTATTACCTCACAAAGTTTACAAATGTCATTTTTTTGTATTGCAATGTTCATGGTCTTGAAACTATGTAATCAAAAATTCTAGAATAATGGGATTCTCAGAGAGAATAATTCTTATGACGTGTGTAGATTTTTGGTAAATAGAAAGAAAGAATGAGAACAATATGCATATTTTTTACACTTTTTTTATAAAAAATGTGCTTATCGTTCTAAAACGAAATATAGTTGCAAACTATAATTGAAAAATAGTAGAGATTATACAATTTATATATAATAAATCATATTCTTATGTACTTGGTTGAACAATAATAATTACAAGCTTCACCATATTTATTTTGTTTAACTAATAAAAATATAAAAACAAATAAGGAGAGAAGTCATCAAAAACCCCTACACAATAATTTCAATTGATTCAATTATATTTGCTCTTCATAACTTTTTTTTCTCAATTTACATTGTAATTGCTACACATTGCTAACATAAAATATGTTATACTTGCATTTTTACAAATACACAATGTATGTTAAGTGTAATTGTACAAACAAACCGTATTTAAAATCATTAATTTCCAAGTTTTATGCTCTATATCAAATTTTTTTTTGGAATTAAATGGCATGTAATACACTGTGTTCTATTTATGTCTTTTGAATGAGATTAACGATGACATTAAAATTATCTATGTTAAAATAATTACAATATAAAGTTTTTGGAATTATCGTAAATTGGAATTAATAATAATGTCTATTAGCTTTTTTAATGGTTTTCTTTCCTTCCATTTTTGTTTATGTGAACATACGTAAGAAAAATTATGGGAATTAATAATTCAAATATTATATTGGAAAATCGTTTTTTTAAAACGTGATCAACGCTTTTTTCCTGTAAGATGGAAGAAAGTGTAAGTTTTTGTAAAAATTAATATAAGTAAAACTGTAGAGATTTCTTGAAATTGTCAAAATTTCAGGAAAGTTTTGGTATATACAGGGTGATTAACTAACAATTTAGGAGCCGTATACCACCGGTAAAATGAATAAAATTTTTGTTCGGAACATAGTGTAAAATTGGAAACGTTTCCGAGCTTTTAAAAAAAATTATCTATAACTCCCGTTCCACAAAAGATAGAAGTTTCAAACAAATATTAATTGCTAAAATATCTTTTATAATACAGGAGATATAGCAAAACACCATTTCAATTAATAAATTAATCAGTTTAAACTATTTTTCATAAATTGAATTGTAATCATGAATGCATTCGATTTTGAATATTCAAGTACTATTGTACTTGACTCAGAAGATTTTATTTTTTAAATTTCTAAATTCCATTAGTTTGAAAAATGGCTATTAAATGATTGGGCCCAACAGAATATTTTCCACAAATAAGCTATGGCAATAAAGATTATTGACTTAAACTATGGAAGTTCCACAATTAACGACAGTTCCATTAATTAACGAATGCCTTCCCATATTAAGATTTATGAGATTAAACAACGTTTTCAGTATTTCTTTTACAATAAATTGTCCATTATGAATATATTTTCTGCTAAAACGCTTTAAATCCCATCTAGTGAATAAATATGAATTTCAACTTACCGTGTTTTCCAAATAAAAATTCTTCTAATTGTTGTGGGCTGAAAATGTAATTAATAATCATTAATTTTTTTATGATGTAACCTACGATTTTAACATATTAAACAAAAATTTCACTTTTACAAATGTTCATATTTTTAGAACTATAAAAAAATTAAATGAATTACTCAAGTTGTGTAAACAAAACTGAAGTAATTGTAAGATTTGATTCATTAATAATTACAACTCACATGTTTTCATACTCAAAGTGAAAAAAAAATATTTGAACCAAAATAAAAAAGTTAATTATCCAAATCACTTTTCAATATATTTGGGGCGAGAGAGGCTATTTTAGACTTCCGATATCACTTTGCTCAATTACTTACACAATTATGTATGTTTATATGCACATAATACTCAATTACTTACATGATTGTACACGATTTCTGAAATTTATGGCCTTGAAATGTCCGTTTTCTAAAATAATTATTTTGCCCTAAATATTTTAAACCTATATAGAGTAAATAATATTAAACGCTTTATTCTTATGAGTGTACTTGTGTATGTATGTATATACATGGATGAATGTAATTTTGATATAAACTCAAAGTATAAGAAATCATTGTTTCTAAAAACAAATTTTGTATAACAGTTAAAACTACTCATAAAAGTGTTTTTATTTTGTATATTTTTTTCTCTGAAAATTTTCGAAAACAGCTGTTATAAAAACCACGTGGTAAAACATATGTTAGTTTTGTTATTGTTTTGAAGCAAACTGTGCTTTTTTTCAAGAGAGTCTTCAATAACACTTTTATGTTGTTTTGTTGTGTCTGATTGTTTGCTACAGAACTATAAACTTAAAAAAAAACATAAAATAAAATCTGCAAATAAAAATTAACGTTAAAATTACATACTTATTCTAAAAAAGAAAAAAAAGTTATTTAATTTTTTATTTGAGCTTTAAATGAAGATTTCATTAATGATTCCCAATTCTTGGCTCATTTACTTAAAGATAAAATTATTGTATTTGCGTAATTTTCTTTTAAAATATAAAAATAAAACTGGTTTGATGTCGTAAATTTGTTAAAGTTCAAGGAGGTTTTGTTTAAAATATCGGATTTAACCGGTAAATTATCTTGGATATTACAAAATTTGGATTATAATTTTAAATTATAAATAGTTGTATTTGTAAGTATGTATGTTTGTTTTTAATCATTACTTTTTGTTATAATTACAACTAAATAACACTTAAATTTCTTAAGTTCTTTATATTTTTTTAGTAAAATAATCATCATATTTTATTTTCAAATCAATTGTAGTTGTAGCGATGAAAATGTTGCTCTTGCGTTAGAGAGATAAAGCTAAAATTATTTGCATGCGTTACTGTCGGGAATAAAATTTTCCAGTAAAAAAATTATAACGGAGATTTTTTGATAATATGAAAAAATTGAGAAAAAACAATTGAAAATACTCATTTACATTATTTTTTTTGAACAGGATTGTGTTACAAAAATTATAAATCAAAAGAAACGACAGTAAACAATAAAGTTTATACAGTGGTCGAAGTGAGGCAAGACGAGGCTGGATGGTATGCCACCAGTTCTTACTAATTTTAAAACTATCCCAATATACATCTTGTTGAAAAAAATTGCATCTCGGAATATATTTTAAATTAATTTTCACTACACAAATACTTTCCACAGAATGTAAGAAATGTGCAGAAGTTCATAACCTTTCGTAAATTTAAATTTTTTAATATTCATTTCGCGTTAGTTATCTAACTCAAAGATTTGGGTGAGATTTCTTAGGAAATTATTTTGTTGTAACTTGTGTAAAATGGATAAGGGTTAATATTAAAAAGGAAAAATCTTGATGAAGAACAATATGGCGTTAAAAGGGTGAAGAGAGAGATTTTCTATAACAATATTGGGAGAAAGGGTGAAGAGAGAGAATCCTTGAGTTTGCCTATTACACCAGTAGACCCCAGTATATTAAACAACGACAGTATATCAAAGAGCTTATTACTTTAAAGATCTTAGACTACTGGAGGAGAGTAACACAATAGCTGTTTGAACTGAAACCATATATTTGGCTAGAAACATATTTATATAATTAATATGTTATTTATATGCTTTTATACCAACCCAGCACTTTTAACCAGCCACTTCAAATGCTTTTCATTATAGTGCATTTAAATGAGCAACTTATCTTAGACACAGGACATTAGTACTAAAAATCCTTCTATAACAATATTATGTTGTTGAGATTCGTTTGTCTTTTATCTTTCCTAATACAAAATTTTAACTCTCGCAATTTTCAGGTTTTAAGTGTTATAATGTTTATACACAAGATTTTGGTAGAATCTTTGTTCGAAAAACAAATCATCTTATCTTGGGCTTTATAACTAACATCAATTAAATTTTAATATCTTTGAATTTTTAATAGTAAATAATTAGAAGTAGGACTAAATTAAGTGGGAAAATTAGTCTATCATATTAATTAGACCCAAGTCGATTTATTATTTGCAAATTGAATATACCTAGGTACATAAAATTTGTAAAAGATTGAATATAAGTATAGGCTTTTGTTCGTACATTACACAAATAGTATATTTCATAATAAGATGTTAATATTGGCATTTAATTTATAAAAGATATTACACTTTGCTAAATAATTAACACTTTTTCAGTAACATGCTAAATATACTAAAAATCCGTTAATTTACATGCTAAGTGTACATATAAATCAACATTTAAATGCATACATCCAAGCATACAAACATAAGAATAAAAGCTTTTTCATTGTATTTATTATTTAATTTTATCTGCAAAAGCTTCTTAAAAAGCTTTTAATGATAAGAAAACTGTTATACTTACTTAAAATTTCGAAATTTATTTTATATTTTTCATTTTATTGTTATAAAAATTTGTTGAAATGCCTTCGACTGAAAGTGAATTTCATTTTCTTTTATTACAGAATATCAGTTTTGCTATTGGAGTTGTGCCGTTAACTATTTCTGAAAAATTAAAAAATTTTTTCAGTCTTACATTAAATTCGGTCACGTTTAGATGTGTTTTACGGATTGTTGTCTTGAATTTTGTTAGTGCAATGTAATTTTAATTGTTTTGTTATTATTTGTTTTTTGTTGTTTTCAGAAAAATAATGTAATCAATTTAATATTATAAATATAAAATAATATAGAATAAAATAAAAAAGGCGAATCTTTAAAAATTTCTTACTCTTTATTTTTTCTTTTTTGTTATATTTTATTCGCGTAGACAAAAAACAAGTTAACCGCTTTCGCTTAAAATTGTAAAATATAAAAAAAAATTGTGTTTTACGGTTATTCAATTTTCTCTTGTTTGTTTTAATGAATGAAACCGAACCGTTATCAAAGAATTTAATATTTTATGTATGTATGTATTTACATACAAACAAAAATTTAGCGCGTTTTTAAATGTGAATTATTAGTTTGTGCTTCAATGTGTGCAAATGTTTAGTAAAACATAAATAAGTGTAGTTACTTAACATAAAATATCAATAAAATACGAGTATAATATAATAAAATGTGTTTGCATGCCGGTCAATATATTAAAGAAAAATAAATACATACTTATAAATATAAGAAAAATTCTATAATGTTTTAAATAATATTGATATACACATAGGTATCATAAGTATAACAGAAAAAAAATAATATGTAATATAATAAAAAAAATTATAAAAGTAAATTATAATTTACATAACATGCACCCATAATAATATTGATAAATGGATTTATATATGTATAACGTATGTATGTATGTATGTTTAATATACTTAATTTGAATAGAAAATATTAAGCGGTGCCATTGATTGCACAGTTTATTTACAAATTATTATTTTATTACTGAAAATGTAATTGAAAATATTCTGTTTTTTGTGTAATTTTTGTATAAAAGGTTAGAAAAATTAATTCTAAAATTTTCAACCCTTTTCGGGTTCTTATTATAAAAACAAAATTTATAGAATTATTAATAGAATATATTGGCAATTGTATTTCAAATATGTATGTAGGCATTGTGTTGATTGAATTTGAATAAAGAAAAAAATTAAAATAAAATTTCGCGATTAATTTTTTTTTGTATAATCATACGACTTCATAACAATCTTATCAAAATTACCTTAATGTATAATAGTTATATGTATTAAATAGGTATATATGTATATAGTACATTAATTTCAATAGGATTGCCGTTTATTAAAAAAAAATGTTGTTTAAGTATATTAACTGTATATGATAAATATAATAAAAATAAGAAATTATTATATACAATATTTATTATACATAATATTTATGTAAGAGAGTAGCATTATTTCAAGGAATGATTCCAATAACTCATTAGTGATTTTGTCATATATTTTTTAACTTGTCATTATAGAATCCCGAAATATATTCATTTTAAAAATATAAAGAGATTTTGGATTGATTATTTCTTAAAACCTCTTGATATTATGAACAGATTTTATTATAATAAGAAGAAAATAAAATAAACAATTTTTCAAGTATTTGTATGCAACAGATCGACCACACCTCTAGCATAAATGCACCATTTTGCTACCACCATTCTGAGTTCACCAGGCCATCATTGAGCCTACAATTACTGGTGGCCTAAACAACCCGGTTCTCTTGTGGAATATATCTAAATATATTCGATATATCGTCCTTCCTCGCTAAAGTGTTACTTTTTATATTTAATTTATTTTCAAAAATGACAATTTTTCAAAAGTGCTCCATACAAATTCAAACAATGATGTGAAGTAATGCATAACTATTGACTTTAAATTCTTTCGCGATTAAGTGGAATCACAATTTAAAAGAGCATCTTTAAAATATAATTATTTATTTAAGGGTTTGGACGATTTGAAATAATTAATATAGAATTCAATTTCCTTGATTAAATTTCTATATATGACACTTAATTCAATTTTCCCGGAAACTTATACTTCTTGAAATAATTGTATTATGTAATTATACTTAATTTATAAATGTCTCAAATTTAAATAATTCGAAATAATTGGACATTTTCCTATTCACTTTTAATTTGAACATAAAACACGAGTTTGATTAGTTTCATTTTGTAACAGTGAGCTTGTAACAAAGTGGGAAAACAAATTATAGTTCGCATGGAACATGAAATATCATCATTTTCATTATTTGTACATGTAGGGACACAAAAATCTTAATAACGAAATATATCTACATATATTACATACAATATACATGCTGTATGTATTTTAGTAAACTTGATTCTTTATATTGATTGCAATTTGACTAAACACAGGTAACCTTGAAATATTTAATATTATGTGTATGTATACGAATATAATATGTATGTACTTAGTTTTATATGTACAATTTAATTAGTCACATTAAAATAATGTTCGAAAAATTTTTTTTTTCTCATTTGTATATGGAATAAATTTATTATCGCGGTAAAAGTTTCTTGTTATAAATATTAGAAATATAACTATTATATGGATTATTATTATTATTAATGTTATATGTAATATTGTTATATTAAATTTGATTTATGCGCATTATAAATATAAATAATTGTATTTATATAGAAAATGAATGAATATGGGAGCAATATATTATACATACAATTGGTATTGTGAGTTAACATGAAGGTGATAATGAATATTTCCATCACATAAAAATATTTCATATTTCACATTAAAATATTGGAAAGTTTTATTTATTTTTTTACAAAAAATTTAAAATCAAGTTGTCGATAGAGAAATTTTAAATTTTTTTTTGCAATTTGACGCTTAAAATTTTGAAAAGGTGATTGTTCGAAAATTTCTTGCTTTGTTTATGTAGTACAGATATCGGCATCTTTTACGTCTTTTGAAAAAATAATTAAAATTGCTGAATTAGAAATTGTGCAGTATAGCTTTATGCGTAAATTTACAAAAATGTTTTACACAAAATATTGTAATTCTAAATATGTGCTTTTAAGAGTGGATGCGTGATTAGAAAGTGTTTAATGTCGAATTTTTTTAAAATTCCTAACAAAAAATTTTTTCTTTTAATGTAAACTAAATATTATCAATTTAAAATAGCAGGTTTATTCATAAAAAAAATTATATAGCAAGTAAAGATTAAAATTATTTGACGGTTAACAGTGGATTAACATCATACTAATACACACTAAACTATGCATGTATATATTGCAATTACGTAAAACATTGTCTTTCATTAAAAAAAAAAAAATTTCCAAGATTTGAAAAAAAAAAGGGCTAATTAATTCCGATCTGTCTGTTTGTGCGTTTTTTTTTTACCAAACTTTAAAATTCTTTTAATTGGAAACAGAAATTTTATATTGGAAACAAATTTAATGTTTGAGAGAAATATTTCCCTTTTCTTTAAAATATCCCTTTAAAACCGCGAAAATTGTCTTTTTTTTGCATAATATTTCTCCTTTGCTTTAAAACTGTACCACCACGAAAATCCTTGAAAATTGTCGTTTTTTTACGATATTATTGCGCTAAAACTACAAATTTGTTTTGAATTCCTCGAATTTACTTGTTCTTCCGACATAATATAAATGGCAAATATAAGAATAACAAAAATTTCATTTAAGGTAATTTTTAAAAATCAAGGTAATGGATAATGTTATGTCGTATATATCCAATTTTCATAGAAGGAAAGAAGTATCGGTCTTTTTATTAGAAAGCATAAGTAGTAATATATTTATTAAAATCTTTTTAATCATATTTTAATATTTCAATTGTTATACTAATTGTTAAAATCTCATCAACTATTTCAATCATCTTGTCAATGTTTGTTTAAATTTTTGCTCCTTCGTTGTATGCATGTTAATGAGAGAACATTCCTCCGCTATGTGTATGCAACTAAGTTATTCTTCCCCCCTATGCATATGCAATGAGAAGACATCACCTATTGCTATTAACAAAATAATGAACGTTAAAGAATTTTATGTACTTCTCAAAACGAAATGTCCCATTTTGCACACTCCGAATTTATTTTATAATTTATTATTGCCGTCATTGTGCGAAATTATCATCTATTTTATATGAATTATCAATATTATTTTGAAATATATGTAGCTAGTTAATATAAATTTAAACTTTGTATTTGCTCTACATTAATTTAAAAGATTTTGTTACGTACCGTTATAATATACATATTTATAATATGATAAGAAAATAGTAAAAACGTGTATAATTATGGAGGGAAGTTTTGCTCTTAAATTGGATTAATAACATCTACTTAAATGAAGGAAATTATGAATCATATAACCTTTCGTCAATACTGATAACAAGCCCTAAAAATAAATTCTAGAACAAGGTCATTAAAATTTTAATTTTTTTTCAAATAAGGTTTATAAAATATCTGAAAGTATTATAAGTTCGTTTTAAATGTTTTGGTTTAAAATAAGGAGTTGAGATTTAATAATTGGAACATTTTTGTTTAAATAATATTTTCTAGTTTCTTATAATTGTTGAAATGAGTAAATTTAATGCCTTCTTAAAAATTTTCGAATTTACTTTTAGTTTTAGTAAAATTCCTTTGAGTTTTTTATAAATGCTAGTTTTAAGTATTTTATAAAAATTTATCGACAAAAACTCGTTAAGGACCTCGAAAATTTTGAATACGAAAATTTGGAATTTTGGAAATTTACTTGTACTTAATTAGATCGAACGCGCTCTTAGAAACTCTATACATAAATGCGAAAATTATTAAAAATTTGCAGAAATCTGCCAAATAGAAGAAATGTTCAATGAGAAATGGAAAATTAAAATTCATAGAAAATTCATCACATTTACCTCTTTGTTTTTCTTTATTTCGATTGTATAGCATCAACATTTTGTATGGCATCATATGCATGTGTATCAAAAAATTTGCATAGTAATTATAATTCCAACAAAAAATCCAATTCAATTCTAGGAAAAATTTTTACACATTATTTTTTTTGAAAAACCGTGCATTAACTTGCACTGTTTTACCATGGTTAATACTGTAAATTTACACTTATCTGTAATTTTGCCCCTCATAAAATATAACAATCTTTCAAAATTATTAATGGCAATAAATATCTTC